CTACTTGTATAAATTAAAGACTCATCATATTTATAAACTCTAACTCAGAGTTCATGTCAATCACCACCTAAGAATACTAAATATTCCTCTCCCAGTGAAGATCTAAGCTCCTAAACATAGAGACTTCACTTTCTGTAGTTTGTAAAGTTGCCTGCACAGTCAGATTCAAGAAATAAAAACATCAGAAATATTACATATGTTTCAGTATGGGCTAATGCAATACCGTACCATCCCTTTTGAGCAGCCCAGTCCAGTTCCACCCATCACTACAATGTACACCTGTACAGAGCAGATGATAAAGTATATCCTGTCTTTGCTATGTCATATAATGGGTGGCAAAACATACTTCCTTAAACAGTTTCACGTGGGTTATTCTACTCCAGTAAATACCGAATAACTTGGTGTGACACTATTACCAGAAAGAAGAAATGAATTCAAAAGGAATAGAGCTAGGAAATAAATTTGCTGTTTCCATGGCCAGCAGTATGTTTGGTCTCATGCAATCAGTATTGCAATAGCAGCTACTTTGTTCTTATTCCCATAGCTATTTTCCTAACAAACATAAAGCATGTTTTTCTGTTATTCTTATGGTACAGAGAAATAAATCCAAAATTGTTCTTGTAAACAAAATCCGTTTGTTCAGCCTACAAATATATCCCTCTTTGCTTCTTCTCTGTTTGCCCAGGAAGGTAAGAGAATCACATGCAGGAGAACCAGCCACTTAGACAGTCATTTCAACTGAATTTTCAAGTTTTACAGTTTAGTTCAAGAAGCTAAGGAGTCAGGACAGTCTTCTTGTCTATTTCTGTCTCTCTCCCTGTCCGCTACCTTGATGTTTTATGATATGGCTGCATTGTGACAAGGCAAACAATTTCCTTAATGCCACATTTTATGTCCTGCAAAGATGGAACATAAATTGACAGCAGCAGGAAATTAATTGGTGCCTTCTATAAGGAAAATAAACTGATACAATTTTTTAGTACAAGATTTAGTGTTTTTGTCTTTCTGTGGCTTGAAGGAACTGCAGCTGTGCTAGAATGGTTTCGGGATTTGGCTGACTTATGTATGCACCCGCCAAGGCTCCAGGTAAGAACTAATCTTGCTGGAGCAGGGAGCATGGGCATGTTTTGGAGTCATTTAATAGTGGCTAGAAAGATATTACATACTTGACTGCACCTGGTGCAGAGGAAACTAAAGATGTCAGTCCCCTCCCCTTTCCCCATCAATTGTCTCATATTTCTGAGATACAGGTGTGTGGTTACAGTGTAAACAGACCAAAGATGTTTCTTCTAGGCTAATAAGCTACATGTTTTCCTTATAGTATCTCTGCCAAAATATAGAAGTACGTACTATGAACTCCTGCACTTCCACACAGCCCATGTACACTGAGGAGAAAGACTTATTTCTAGAGCTGGGATAGGACACATAATTTGCCCCTCTGTCAGCTATACTTCTCATTCTTTTCTGGATGTATTTCAGAAACTGATCTTTGTCTTGTCCATATGTCTTGCTTTCCATGAACTGTCAATGCATCTCAAATTAAGAAATAATGGGTGAGCATGAGAGAGGCATTTGCTTCTTCTGGGCCATTCACTGCTTGATCTTTCTTTTGTGGCTGTCCAGAAGGCCGATAGTACTAGGCGTGGCCATTAGCTTTCACCACTAATTGGAGGAAAAAGTATTCTATCTTCATCCCTAAGCTTTCCTTACCTTGAACAGTCCAGCCTCTTAAAAGTCACCTGAACAAATTCAAATGATGTTACTATTTTCTATGTGGCCTGGATGATAAAGATGTAGCACTAAAGGAATTAGAAAGACCATTTGAAATTGAAAATAGATCGTATCTTCTGAGGCTGTACTGTTTCTTCAGTGTCAGTTATAGCTCATGATACCACAACACCGCTTGGTTAGAACTAAGGAGAAAAGAAAAAGTGCAGGCGTGAGGAAGCTTGCATTGTACAACTGTGTTATCTGCAATGCAGACAAATGATTTATGATTGCATGTTTCATGTAGCAGAAATGATATTGCCAGAGGTAAGAATAGGAAGGAAAATTCAGACTCGCTTCAGGTGACAGACATCTCACAAATAAAGAAGATCCTTTTGAATTTTCTGGCAAGTCTCATCAGGATAGTCCTACAGCGAAAAGGGGAATGTGACTTTTCCTTTACGGTCCCAACAACAGGTCCAGAATAACCACTACTTGCTGTCTAAGATCCTTTTGATAGGCAACTAGGAAAACTGGTGCTATCACAGCTAACTGTGCTGAGACTGTATTTCCCTTCTGCTTTTGAATAATTTGCTGTTCCGATGTTTTGCAATTCCATATTAATATGGACATTAGTTATGCTGACAATTCTAACCAGTTTTCCTTTTGCTTTATTGAAAGAAACAAGAAGCTCTGTAATCAGCAGAATTAATGAAATTTGGTGTCCTAAGGCTTTCCGTTCCCTTCCAAAGGATGGAAGGGTCACATGACTGATTTTTGGAATAGCTACTAGTGGTGACAGCCAGTTAGCAAGTATTGGCAAAATTTAAAATTGCTCTGCTTCTCTTACACTGGACAGGGATAAAGGGAAATGCGGAAATTCCTGTAATGCTGCTAAGTAAGCAGGAGAACTGAAATACTAATCTGAAATTGGCAGAAAAGTATCATTGTCTATGTTTTTATTCTGATACTTTGAATAAATTTGTATTTTACTGAATTTATTAATATACTTTTAATTTTGCAGATACGATGCGGTGCACTGCTTCTGAAGAACGTTACTTTTATTCCGTTACTTTCCCCTTAGCTGTTTAAGGATGTTTTCAGAGGAAGATCAACACAAGACTAGGTGCCTGGCCTGGTATGAGGAACTTTGGGCATGCCCTGGTAGACTATTTGCTGCCGCTAGATGGCACGTTGCAGAAGAATCTCTCTGTATATCCTAAATAGCAACTTGACGTTTTCTGTCTGTTAGTATGATTAATGGATAAATAGTAGTAAATGTATCTTTAATAGGAGAAAACGCACAACATTGACAATAATGATTAAGTGTTATTGAACAGTTGTTATTTTGGACAACAGGTGATTAGCGAATTCAAACCACTTTGTTTCCAGGCTTTGGCACCTTGGTCATTGCTAACTCAAATCATAAAGTTCAGTGAATCACATTGTAAATAGTTTTATTGGTCCCATGTTGGAAAAGATTTGAGGTCTGTGAAATTCCTTGAAGATTTAAAGTTACATATTTCCTAAATCCTCGTATTTCTGTTTTCTATTCTTCATTTGGTTATTCCTCATTGCAGAAATTTTAAGCTCATTTTCTGCCTTTGCAAACACTAAAAATAGCATGATACCTGTTGGGAGCAAAGAGTTTTATTCCAAGAACAAGTATACTGAATGTAGAGAGTTGGAGTTTTGCATAAAGATGCATGCTACTACCAAAATACCATAGTTATCTGCGAGAGGAATTACCTCCAGGGACAAAAGTGGATCTGCTCATGCAGCTTCTGGAGAAAGTTCCATAGCTACATACGTCTTATGACTATTTGGTAAAACAGAGGACCTTCCTTTGTCTTTACTGTCTGCTGGGTCTTGGGCAGCAGTTTTCACTTCTTTCCCTTCTATGTTGTTTTTATAATTCTTAATTCCTTCTTTGTTGAAAATCTCCACAAATTCACTGAGAATTTTAGTCTTGGTTTGGCTTATATTGTTTAAGTCTTTCTTTCTTGTATCCCCCAGCCATCTCTGTAACCATTATGCTGTTTTCTCGTCCTCTTGGCTTGTATTTCATTTTCTGAAAAAATCATGTTTCTTCTTTTTTTTTGAGATTTTTTAATGTCCATTGTATGTTAAGGATTCCTTCAAAGCAATTTTTTAGTGAAGACAGGATTTAAATTGTAAGATCTTGATATATCTCAAAGTTTTCGGTGCTATACAATAAGGCTTCCTATAAATTGATTTTAACAACTTCTGAGTTGATTTAAATGACTGGGAGCAAATCTCTGGTTTCCTCAAGCCAGCTTCAGGATTAAAAAGACATAGGGACTTTTTCCTGTCTTGGCTTTAAAGTCATCATCTATTCTGTTAAGTCTGTTTATGATTTCAGTGCTTGATGAAGTGATTCTTGCATCACTTGCATGCCTCTTACAGTTTCCTGTAGAGGTGTTTATGATGAAGTACCTTTCTCAAATGTAAGCTATTTTTATTCTTGTATTAGTCTACTTAATTAATGTTCATCTGATTTTCTGATGTGGTCATGTGTAGTAGAAACGTATATGTGTATCAGGATAAGTCCTTCATATTCTTTTATGTGTACATGTATGTGCCTGTAGTACGCTGTGTGTGTGTGGGGGGAGGGAGGCAAGGCAAGGCAAGACAGCACCATAGCTCCAGGGAAAATGGAGGAGGTGACTGCGAGTCACCCACTTACTCACTGGCATATGCTGTGGGAAACCTGTATTTTGTGGTTTTGTAGTGCACTTGCTTTTTAGACAAGGCAGGCAAGAAGGCAGACATCCCCTTCTCATGAACAAATGTATCACTTACAACTAGGTAAAACAAACCTAGTGTCAGCTCCGAAATGAAGAGCTGCACTGGAAATCACACCTAACTACAACAGGTGCTGAGCTGGCAGTTTCACAGAAGATTGTGAAATTTGATCACACAATGGGAAATAGAGCCACTCCTTGAGGGCAATATCTGGAAGCATAATGGGGAACCACCCTTCAAAGGTGATCTGTGTGATAATGGAGCTTAGAAACACTTTCTACCTGCTTTGCTTAGAAAATTATGAACACTTTCAATAGTGTTGCTAGTTTTTTTTGCACAAGTACACTATATTTAGCTGTACTTCAACTAGTCCTGCCCTCAGACACACCCAAGGCAATAAACTGCCCTGTGTCTACTTGCCATTACCATCATTTCAAGGTGGAATCTATTAATGAGTTTTCCGTTCTCTTTATGTCCTGGTATTATTGTTAGCTTCTCTTCTCTGTCTGTAGATTACTGCCCTGCCTTTCACCTCTCTCCTTCTGGAAGGTGGGGATTTGAATACCCTTCAAGTATCTTTTGCTGCAGCCATTTTATGGTAAGTTTCTAACCTTTATATACTCATACATGCTAATGAACATGCAACACCCAGCGTTACTGCATTGGCCCCATGACAGTCCATACTACTTGAAGTCTCCATACTTGAGATTGCCATAAAGATTGCACATGTGCTCCTGCATGTACTTAGGCACACCACAGCCTCTGAATAATGTAGACTAATAGAAAAGACTTCAGAGAATCATAACACAGTTTGAAAGGGCTGGAGGGAGAGGATGATGGGAAATGTTATAAGAATTCAGCATTTCCTGCTTAGCTAAGCAGTAATTTAGAAGGACATGTAAACTATGTGCAAGTATTTCAAAGAAAACAAAAAGCAAACAAAAACTATGTACACTGCCCTGATGCTGGAGACGAAGAGCAAGGAAGGGAGAGGTTTGCAGCAAATCTTGTGCTTAGGTTTGTCATTTTGTTAGGCTCTCAGACACAAGATGATCAGGATAATGAAAGTACTTAGACAGACTTGGATATTATTTGATAGAGGTAATGCAAAGGAAAAGAAGGTCAGTGGGTTAGCAGTGATCTGAGTAAGTCCTTAAGTGAATGAAATCAATTGCTCAGGAATTCTGACATTTTTAAAATCAAATGTACAATGCGCTTTGTCCTCGGCCATCATTAATTAAGAGGAAGAAGAAGGATTTTGAAGAGTTTGCATGTTGTTTTAGAGTGAAATCGACTCATAACATCACTTACGTTAAACTAGCGATGGTTAAGTATGATTTTAGTAATGCAGTAGGCTTTGTGCAAAAACTTAGGCAGTTAACAACAGGCCAAATGATTTAACTTGAAGTTCAGTGACACATATTGTCTAACTATTCTGTTAGAACCCAACCTTATCTATTGAAATTAGGTGCTTGATTTCCAAAGTGCCTTTGGAAATTCAGATGCTGATAGACATCCAGAAATTCCAATGTGTCTGTCAGTTTGGTCATTAGGAATCTTTTGAAAATCAGTTCCTGCAGACTAGGGATTAAACACTTAGCTGTGTTAGGGGCTTTTGAAAAGGTAAGTCTTGGTATTGAAAGTCCTAGTAATTGGGAGTCCAAGAAAATTGCACTCTCAATAATAAAGTAACTATTATTTTAATGTTAACAGAAAATTTGGCTTTGATAACTTATCTGATTACTGTGAGTTATTTAAAGAAGAACATGGCCAAGCAGTTGAAACATGGAAGACAAATAGAAGTAGTGATATTTTAATAGAAAAAAAATCTCCATAACACAGGGATTACATAAAAATCTTTAATTCAATTATAGGTACTTTAGAACATGAGGATTCTCCCATTCTTAAGAGAGTATTACTATTCCTATCGTGACCTTGCAGGCTGTAATCGTACATAAGTAACAACAGGACATACGTTCTAGGAAGAAAATGTCTTTTACATTCAAAACAGAGCAAACTGTAAATAAATATATTGCATAGTAGTAGAATGGCCTGACATTATTTGATTTATCTATAATCATACAGCACATGCCTTAGTATGAATGCCTGTAGAGTATACAACAATCTTATATACATTTTGAACATATACACAGAAATCTGCATATTCATAGAGAGGTAAATATTAGTATTGGTTTTGATGATACAGGCATGAAAACAGGAACATAGAGTCTCTCTTCTCCCTTTTACTCACATACCTCTTTCTTCTTTCTCATTCATTGCAGATTTTGGGCTTTACAAGCAGAGCTTGAAAGTCGATGGCTGTAGGTAGTACTTGGGGAAAATTTACCACTGTTACATGAGAGACAAAATCTAAAGATATCTGTAACAGCTGAAAAGCAAAAGACTACCTCAACTTACTGCTGGGGTAACAAAACTGCCTACTAAAACAGAACTGTTAGGCAATTTTATTGCTGTTATCAACAGAGTGATTTTGCTTGTAGGTGGCATGTCCTTTTCCATAGAATGGCCTTTGTCAACCACTGCCTGAGCAAAGTTTGCGTAGATGGTAGTCTTGCTCACATTGCAGTTCTATGAGACAGAATTGTTGGTTCCTTTGTCTTTCCGTATTACTGGCACGAACTTGTCCCGTTTGCCCAAGCTGGGAAGGTTTGTAGTTGGAACAAGGATATAGCCCAGGTGTTGATGCTTAGATTTATTGTCAGAACTCCTAGGACGTTCAGTACAAATCCAGCTCTGGCCTAGAATTATATAGAAGAAGGGTCATTAGTTGAGCAGATTATTTCTTTCCTTCCCTGCTGATTAGAGTTGTTTGTATGGATAGCTTTTCTGTCTTGCCTCTTTGGCCTTTATTCACAGCTCCAGCAGAAAATATGCTACCGAGTCCTATGAGGTGCTTTGAAAAAGCAGTATATTTCTGTGTTCCCCAGTTTGTGCAAGAGTGGAATTTTCCTGCATTTGAATTTAGGAATTTCAGAGCCTACTTACTCTTCTCAGACACTTTCATTTGGCATGAGCTAGAATCAGATGTTTAGTGTTAGCATCCTATTTTTTTTTACCTTCAGAAAGTCTTAAGTAATTTTAATCAAGTTACATTTCACCTGGTTTTCTTCTCAAAATATAACTTGTTTTAGAGGAAACTGAGTTTTCATGGGATAGAATTCTTATGCTAGAAGTCCTGAAATTCTTTTCCTCTACGTATGGAGGACTTTCTGTTCTGATCCGGCATTTATCTCTAATATTACTTTGGTTTTCTTCTGGATCAATTATAAATTAGATCAACTATCAAGGGACATGACATTCTTCTCCTTTCTTTTCCCTATTGAGAAAGGGTGTCAGGGCAGCCTAGAGAGTTGTACTACATTTTGCTCTACTCCCTGCAGAAGAATTGTACAGAGTGGCAGGATGATATGACTTTTAGCCATCCCTATGATCTGTATTTGGGCTTTTGGAACAGTTACAAATTGCCAATTCTCACTGACAGCAAGCTCCTGTTGGAACATCTTCAAGAGGCCTTTCTTGGCTGTTTTCTAAAAGCTCAGTAGCATCTTCATAAGGCTCTGAGTGCATGTTAGAGTCAGAGTGACCCTTTATTAATTCACACATGTATGTTATTCTTTTCATTTGACTTTAGCAGAGTACAGTCAGTTTTCTAACATTCTTTCAAGAAGAACCAATATTAAAAAAAAGGAAGGTCAAAAACTAGTGATGAAAACTCTGAAAAGAAACATGCTTTTGCTCACCATATCTATAACTTTGAGTTGTCCATTTGAGAAGACAATAGCATTGGGAGGAGTGGCCACTGGGAGCATGAATGCCAGTGATGCAGAAAGCGTGCAGGGCAGCATGACATAGAGTGGATTGAGGCAGATTGCTTGAGCCTGTGCAGGAAGGAGAGGAAACATGGTGTTGGTTGATACACAAAAATGCAAAGATATCTCCTTGGGGAAGACTTTATTTGTCCATGTCAGAAACCCTATTCTTTCATAAACATTGTAGCTACTCCTATTTTGATTCTGTTTTAAAAACTTCTGCTCAATGTCTTTATGCAGCAAAAGCAAGAAAATTGCTTTTGTGGTCAGTGCTTTGTGTTCCTGATCGTGGAATCTGATCACTGCTGCAGTAAAGATTAATAATAATGGTTGTATTCAACTCTGAAATCAGGAAAGCGAATGTAAAATGGCTTCAAACTGGTTAAGAACAAAATTAAATTATCAGTGGAACTAGGATAGCCCAAAATCTGAAGACGAGTGGGTAAGTTTACAAGATAGTTGGAGTCAGTGGCCTATGCAAAAAGATTTTGGTGTAGCTTATTCAAGTTCTATCTGGAACCAGGATTTCACACTGCAGAAATACGTCTGCCCCAGCATCAGCAGTCTTCTGTGGAAATGCAAAAGTCTGGCTTGAGGTCATAGAGACTGACTAATGGTATCACCTTTACAGAGACTTCTGGAAGGTTAGTGGCTGGAGTGAAATACAGTAATGGAATGTTGCAGGGAAGCAAATGCTGCTGCTGCTGTTGCTGCTGCTGCCTTTCTCCAGAACAAATAGGAAAAAAACAAGTACAGCTGGCAGTGACTTCATGAGGTTGTTTAGGCCAGAAGGCAAAGTTTAATATGCCAATGAATTTAATCCCTTTACTTTTCACCAACCAACAATGATTTTCGAAAGGTTGAACTAAACATATGGTGTATGTGAATATATATACATATACATACACACACACACATATGTATAATGTATATTTTAAATCTTGTCTCCTAATTAAATACATGAACCAGTGCTTGGCATTGTCAACTAGTTAGTTTGTATAATTGAGCAGACATATACTTGGAGCAGAGCTGAAAGCTGTTCTTATGAAATATTTTGAAACATTGGAACTTACCATTGAAGCCAGAATAGGGAGGAAGAGGGTAGTAGTGGCTGCATTGCTGGTGCACTCAGTGAAAGTGGCAATGAGGAGACACAACAGGAAAGCAATAGCTGGATGAGGGATGTTCTGCAGAGGAGTCAATTTGTTGCCTAACCATGCAGACAGACCAGATTCCTGTTAGGGAAGAAAAGGAAGAGGTCTGTTAAGATAGTAGGCTGGAGAACAAGTCTCCACATCACCGTGCAGTTACATTTCCCTTACCAGTTCCACTCTCCCTTCTTTTAGAAGTTCTTATACAAACTGCTTTCTACAGAAAAACACGTAGCGGCTTTGTTCATAGACACAATAATTCAATAGATCAAATAAAAATCAACATATTTTCCATTCCAGAGCCTTTGAAAGAAGAAGATACTGCATTTACAATACTTTATTGATAACAAATAATTATTTCTCTCTTCAGGCCATTAGTGTACATGGACTTTTTTTTAATCTAAACTAGGATCTTTGAACTCAACTTTCTAAATACCTTCATATATCCCAGGATATATTCTAGCTATTAATGTAGTTTCATCACAGCTGAGTCTGAGGTCTTGACTGAATTATCTGAAGCTCTTCTTTCCTTTCATCTCTTTCAGACACTGGAAAATACCAGCATCTTCTCTATTATTCAGGGCTGTAATTTGGGCATCATTTTTATTCAGGTGTTT